TTGTTAATAGATTAGTTAGACATGAATGAACGCTTCAGAAACCCGTGTTGGGAATCATTGATCAACTTGTGCTTCTCCAGGTGATTTCGAAGAGTTTGAAATGATTGCTTCCAGTAATTTGCCTACAATTGATGTTAGACTTATTGGTCGGGAGTTAGAAGATAGTGATCTACCTCCCTTCTTGAAAATCGGTATTACATTCCCTATTCTTCAGGATTCTTGTGCTACACCCGTTTTTAAGGACATGTTAAACAACTTTGCTATGGGCATACTAAGCTCTTGCTTACATTCCTTTAATACTTTAGTTTGTGTATTTGCTTACTAACATCGTTACTAGTCACTACTATCTCGCTTAATTTATTTTCTTCACTATCTCTGTATGTAGTCGGTGCCTCGGGTATCATGTTTAAATTTTCGGTGGTGAAAACTATTGAAAAATATTTATTCAGATTATTGCTCATTTCTCCGTTGTTATCATTTAGCTTGTCAATATCTGACTGTATTGGTCCAATCTTTTCTCGTGTTTTAGTTTGATACATTTGATAGAATCCCTTGGGGTTTGACTTTGCCTCCCTTGCTACCTTCAGTTCATTATTCCTCTTTGCTTTTCTTATCTCGGTCTTAACCCTACCTGCCAATACCTTATAATAATCTTGGAGGTAGACTTCGCCACGATTTATTCCTACCTATAGCCTTCCTTTGTCCAATAATATTCTTTAAATAATTTTTTATTCATTTAGGGTCATTGTTGTTTGATCTGAGTTTTCTGTATGGTATGTTCTGCCTTGTTGTGGAACTCGGCATCCTCAGATCTCGTTATCAGGTCATCCTCAACCGTCAGGTCTCCAGGTAAGGTGACGTCACCCTCTGTGGGTACATTGTGTGAGGTCATCTCATGTGAGGTCATGTAATTCACCCCCAAGGAGGCAGTACAGTAGACAAACAATCAGTTAGGCGACCCTTTGCGGGGGAGCGGTGCACTCACATTCCAATGGATCCTTACCTTCTCACTTCCTCACAGCATTCGTTATAAACTTCTATTTGTGTTAGAGAAATGAATTTGATACCATAATTATCCTGAATAATTTCTCTGGGACGTTTCCAATAGGATATCCTTAAACAAAATATTTCAACATAATATGATGGGGATTCCATTCATTTATACAAAAAAAAAAAAAGTAAGAAATATTGATGATACCGAAGTCAATAAAATTATTTCCAATTTAGATACACCATTTTTGTACCCAAATAATCCTGAATACTTTATCTAAAAGTATGGTTAAATAAATACCATATGTATGTAAGGTGGTGTGTGCGTGTAACCGAGACAAAATAAATGAAGAAAGTTACATATATATACCCGAAAATACGATATGAAAAATAACCAGTAGCCTTGTGGTTATAGTGACAAGTCTAACATTGCCTACAACGCTACCAGCAATATTAACAGACACAAATATGTAAAGAAAGTTACTGTACTGTACATATAAATCTTCATTTGTATCAGGTATTTGTAGATTTAAAAATAAATGTTGCAGGTATGGCATTGTAAGAGTTCAGAAATGGTTGCTGCTTAGCTACCTCTGAAGAGTTGGGTGTCTGCTGTATGGACGTTAATTGACTCGGGTTATTTTTCACACTTCACAAGAAAATTTCCATTAGTTTAAACAATGCAACTTTCAGGAGCTGTATTTATTTATGCAAACACCACTGTATTGTACACATACAATATTGTTCATATTTTAAACAAAATGATGTATACAGTGGCCCCTCGGTTAACGAACACAATTCGTTCCAAAAGGTTGTTTGTTAACCGAAACCATTGTTTCAATGGGATTTTGGGTAATTGGTTCCAGCTCACTGAAAATTTCATACAAAGTAAAAATAAATGCAGTAAGGTACACTTAATTTGAGGTGTGTACAGTAGGCTCTCACCAATAACGTTTTATAGGTGCCTGAAAAACACCGTTATTAGCGAAAACGTTATTTGTGTGACATTAAAATACATGTAAAAAGGGTTTATTGGTGCTGCCGCCACAAGAATTTCACCCATTTTTTCCCCTTGAAGCCCCCCTAACACTTTTTGTTTGCTGAAATAAAAAGAATTGTTATTCAATCATCAAAATAAAGAGTTTGAGTAATATAACACTTAGCTTGGGGGAGTTTTTGAGGTGCTTGGTGTGATGATTGTTCCGTATCTGAGGGCCGCTAACACTTGCACTGTCTTTCCTTCTACAAGCTAACCATTTCACAAGAAAATGCTCGGTTATCACTAACAACCTGTTTCTATCGCCTTTATCATTCATAGCTCGCCTCGCATTTCCATCACTACCGAAATATTTTTAGCCAGCGCAATACTCTTCTTGGTCTCCTCTAAGTTCCTCTTAATATTTCGCACTGTAGACTCAGGACAGTTCAATTTCCTCACTTTAAAAGTTCCCAGTCATTCAGGTGGCAAATCACTCCCTCCACCACCTCCCCTAGCCTCCACAGGCAAAAATGCGGAAGCCATTATTGATCACCAACCCTAACAACTAGTGGTTATAGAGGCAAAAAATCTCACATGTGGGCGCAGCACTGTATTCCACTGAGCGTGTGTGAGAGTGAGAGTGAGGCGGACCGGACAACTACGTCATCAACATGGCAGCAAACACACGCTATCATTGATGCACTCGGACGCTTCCCGCGAAATTTCCGTTATTCAAGAGAATCCAGACGTTATTATCGAAAATGGGTATCTATTGTAACTTACCGTTATTGTCGAAAACTTTATTGTGGAAGTCGTTATTGGCGAGAGCCTACTGTATGTAGAAGGCTCCTGGTTGATGATGATGATGATAATGGGAATTAGAAGTGGGGGTGGAAGAGGAATCACCCCATGCTTTATGCCGTCATTTCACCTATAAAATTTTAAGTTCACGAGGTGTAATTCAAGATTATTTTCTTTAAGTATGTTAAATACATTTCAGAATGACCAGAGATACAAACTGACGCCTTGGTGGGTGAGTCAAGTGGCTGATTGGTGCACCAAAAAATAGTTTCCTGTACTGTAATTATGTTAAATAAGTGTTAAAATGACTAAAAATTTTAATATAAGACTTGGAAAATTATTGAATAGTACAACCTTCTTGATGTTTACTCAATGGGAACGAATTTAAGCCCTAGAACCGATTACTGTACATTGGCGGACTAATATTCCAGCTGGTGAGCCAGCGAAAACATGTTGACACGATTTCGTAAGAATTTCGTTAACCGAATTGAAGATTCTTATGGAAGGTAATTCATTCACCGAAATTTCGTTAACCGAGGGATCACTACTACTGTATACTGTATATACTACGTACTGTACTTACCAGCAGACACTGTTCACTCAGCTGACTGTAATGCTTTACTGTAATCACGTCTTCACACTTGGGTTGGTGGTTGGGTGGGAGATTAGTGGGTCATGTTACAGACATGACCTGATGCAAACTCAGGTCACCCATTGTAGAGGTGGGGGATTAGTGGGTCTCATGACCTGAAGATGTCTTGAATAAAGACGAATGGTAAGTTGCTCCAGTGTTTCCCACTTACTCAATGTGAAATATAGTATACGTAACTGTAATCACTTTTTACATTCTTAACACTGAATTTTTGGCTGATATTTTCTGGTACAATAATGTACAGCACTGCACAACACAAATTGTACACAAAAACAGCAGCTAGCAAGGGAACAACCTTCTACAGTGGCAGCAGAATATGAACTATGAACGATCCAAACAGCTGGGCCACCCACGTGCCTGGCATGTGGGGATGAGCTGGAGCGTGATGCAATCTTTTGGAATGACCTGAAAATTTATTCCCAGACACAGAAATAAAATGTATTAAGATTTTCCATAATTTTTCTTGGAATTTTCAGAAAATGAACCTGATTTTCAACCTCGGAATTTGTTCCCAAACCCAGAATACAGAGAATTTTTCGGAAAAATTCCTAGCAAATATCAATTCTGGCTATTGGAGAGTTCTGGGTTTGAGGGATTCTGGCTAATGGAGATATTACTTACAGTAAGGGAACAAGGAAAAAATGAATGTTTAAATTTATCCATACTAAGCATCTCAGTCTTGCCAATAAAGCAGCAAGGCTAAATCAGTAGATGGCTGATGACACAAACCAACCAATGTACAGTAGAAGTCCAAAAATCCGGACTGCTTGGGGATTGGGTAGGTCCGGATTTTCGGATTTTCCGGATTCTCAGGCAGTACTTTTAAAATTAAAATTTAAGGAGGGATAAGAAGAGATGAACAGGTACATTTTGATAGTTTATTCATTAGCAAATAAAGCATGCTTCATTTATCAAAACGAGCAGTTTTAAAGAAATATTAAGTCAACACTAGACAAAAATGTAAACAATATGTCTAATACCATGACGAGTCTTGAAATTCCTAAGCCATCCATCACTAAATGCGCACTCTGATTCAATGTTCATTTGCTCCTTAAAAGACTTTGCTTTGGCAATAAGTATCGGCCCAGAAATTGCCATACCTTCTGATAGTTTTAACAAAAACCATTCGTGCAACACTTTATCAAGATTTTCTAATTTGGGCCAATGTAAACTTTTTCTTTCAGCAATTTTAATGTAAGGCTCAGAAGAAGCTGTGAATTCTAGAATTTTATTCTTTGCCTTTTTTATATCATAAATTGTAGACTTTCTAATGTCGTATGTTTCCATTAGAACAGCATTGCTCACACCACGTTCTAGTTTCTTAATTATTTCAAGTTTGTCACTCAATTTCAATGTGTTCTTCTTTCTCTTCACACATTGAAGTTTATCTACTTTAGGGGCCATTATTATGGGCCTGTACTCTGTACATGGAAAGAGTAGGACTCAAAATTACATACGTTGTCACAGTTTGATTGCTTGTTTTAAAGTGGCGATCGCGTGGTCGTTTGTTGTCGCTGTGCAGCTGTGGCATTCACGCATGCGCACCTACACACAAAAGATTTATAGTGCCTCAAATTTTACATTTCAGTTCAAGCTAATTACAAAACTAACAAAATTAGCTACCTGTAATTTACAATAAGTACTTATATTAGTAGAATTATGTAAATTAATTTTTTAATGCAACTCCATTCATTCACGGAACCCACAAAAGACCACTAAATTTAAAAAATTTGAGTTTTCGAAAAGTCCGGATTCTCGGGTGGTCCGGATTCCTGGCATCCGGATTTTTGGGCTTTTACTGTAATCTAACTTAATCAAAATACTGTACTGTACATATAATGTAAGCTCTTCAGGTTAGTTAAGAATGGTTGTGCTTTATTTGATTGGTTTAGCCCTGCAGCCTCCCTATTAGAACTTTCTGACGAAACCATCATAATTTAATCATTATGTTCATGAGCTCAAACTCGTTTCTTTCCTTAATACCATACTGAATACGTTATGCATTTTTTCCCATTGAAACAATCCCTTGTAAGAACTCTATTAAAAAAAATGGTGCTCTTGTCCTTATCTTTATCCAAATCCTGAAATTTGTCCCCCTCCCTCATTTGTTTTCCCACAGTAACTTGTATTGTTTCCCCATATTTACAAATTACCTGTGCAGTATACAGAAAGTGCCTAAATTAGGTAATCTATTCCATTAAGCCTACAGTTGTGGGGGAGTTGCCCACATAAGTACTTTAACCAGTCTTCTTGTTGACAGATTGAAATGTCAAGAGGACTTGGAAGAAACGTGTTCTACCTCTATGACAAATCAACACTTATATATGAAATTCTAGAAAGGAAGTGTATTACAGAAGTTCCATCTTTGTAAGTATTTATTTTTTTTTTTTTTTAGAGTTTCAATGTCTTTGGCTTTTATGTGATGATTTTGTCACAAAGAGCAAATGCAAGATTGCAAGTTCTTATATTTTGTACAGTATATTTTGTATCACTTTTACTTAAATTTCATTGTGTAAAATTTAACCTAAATGAACTGAAATTTCTCTTACAGATTTTAGTGTTGGATGTTTTTCAAGTTACGTTTGAGAACTCTGGAGAATGTTAACCAATTTGAAAATTATATCTATCCTTACCTATGCAAGCCTCTAAGATTTATGTACTTGTACCAATCTTATTCTCATCTACACTCTTGTGATAAGAAGATTGAGAGTTTCTAGCTGTAAGTAAATTAGGCTTAAATGGTAGTTCTTGATATCTAGAACACCAATAAATAAATGGCCAGTGTCTCATTCAGTGTTACATTTTGGTGTCTATTCTGCAGTCTATAAAGCAACTTACCTGCTGCAGGTGTTTGAAGGAAATTAATTATTGATATCCACATATTATATATTACATAATGCAATTTTGTTTTTAGTGAATGTAATTGGTTAGTAAACCATAAAATGGCAAGGAAAACTTTTGAGTGCAAGCTCTGTAAAAAAATTTTTACCAAGAAGTATAAATTTGATAAACATATAAATACCCATGTGGCATGTAAGAGTCTTAAGTGTAATGTGTGTAATAAAATATGCTCAAGTAATGCCCGGTTGAATCGTCACATGAGAGTCCACTCAAACGTGGAACCTTTGAAAAGAGAGATCCGTAAGAAAGGATATGCACAACAGGTTTTGGGATCCTTAAATGAGGATTATCATGATTGTGAACACTGTGATGAACAGTTCAAAAGCAAGAGTAAATTGAATGAGCACATGCGGAAGCACATCCTTGAAGAACCTTATGAATGTGAGGTCTGTCTTCAGGAAATCTTTCCAACAGATAATCATAACTGTCTTGATTTGCAAAAACATGATGAGAAATATAACTGCCCAGATTGTGATGATAAATATGAAGACTTAACCAAATGTCTTCAGCATATGAAAAATCACAGAGGTAAAGCTTTCCTGGACTGTAAACTATGTGGTCAAGTCTTCACTCACACCTTGTCTCTAAAGTGCCACATGAATAACCATAAGCGTGGGAAACCATATACATGTAAAGTGTGCAACAAAAAATTTGGGAATTATGGTGATTATCTCTGTCATAAAAAGTTACATCCAAGGAATAAATTCTATGATTGTGTTCTTTGTCCAAGGACCTTTTTGAGGCCTCATTTGCTCAAGGCACATATGTTGCAGCACTTGGGGGAAAAACACTACAGATGTAATTTGTGTAACACAATGTTTGCCAGAAAAGACACCCACAGACGTCATATGCAGCAGTTTCATCCTGGGTTTAAAAAATGTGTTTTTAAACTAAAGTCTGCTAAATGTAACACAACAGTACCCAAGAAAGACAAACTTCAGAATGAGGGTAAAGAGTCCAAACTTTCCATGAGAAATAGTATTATAAAGCAAGAAAATGATGTAGGCAAAAAGACGACTTTGGAAGATGTATTAAAAACCTTTAAACATCCAGCTGGGTTTTCAAAGAAGGCTAAGAATTCAGGGCTTCAAAATGAAAGTTTACCCAATGTAGGTGCAAGTAATTCCAGTAAGATTCGTGAAGTTCATGCTGAGAAAGGTCTTGTCTTTGAGGAGTCTGAAGATGACATTCCTCTTATCCACATTGGGAGTAATATCCTTATCAAATGTGAAAGTTTGTCAAGGAATTGTTCAAGTTCAAGTAAGCAGAATATGTCAGAAAATAATGATGATGATAATTGTTCAACTTTGTCTGGTAATTCAAATTCTAATATGGGTATCAGGAAGATGAGTGAGTGCAATATTTGTGGAAAAGTGTTCATCAATGACATTGTTCGCACCTACCACTATGTGAGACAACACATAAGTGAAGAATGTAATCAGTGCATGAGATGTGGTCAGGTATTTTTTAACATAACTGATTTTATGAGTCACCAGATCCATCATAAATCTCTCAGAACTGTCTGAAGTGTGGGACTGATTCTTGTTGTGATGTTTGTGTTTTATACTATTTATAAAATTAAAATACAGTTATGATGTTTATTAAATACTTGTTTAAACTTGGTGGTCATGTACTTTTTTCCTGAATAAAACCTTAGTTCTTATTTTTGGGTGTTCATTTAACACTGATCGTGTTATCCTTAAATATGTACAGTAAACCTCGCTAAGGCGGACTAATTAGGGGGAAAAGGCGTCCGGGATAAGAGGTTGTCCACCTTTGAGCAAATTTTCCCCAAAAGACCGCCATTCTAAACAAAAAACGTACGTATCCAAGTTTTATGAAAGAAATAAATATTTTTTTATAAATTAATTTTAAAAAGTAATGTACATAAAGTACTGCACACATACTTTTAATTCAATGATAAGGTCTTAAGCTTAACCTTCTCATCACCCTTATGGATACCAAACACTTTCCTAGGGGCCATGGTTATTGTTTAATTTTTCAATTATAATGCAAAAAATATGAATGCTACTCCAGCTTACAGTGAATGTATTAAATGTATAAAAACGATAAATAATGACAAAAAACAACAAAAATACAGTAACATATTTTACAGTAGGGAGTATTTAGGAAAAAACTTTTCTGTATTTTCCTCCTGTAGCTATAGTTTGCTTAAATAATATACAGTTCTGTATACAGTACCAGAAAATACAGGGGAATAAATAAATAAAAATACTGTATCGCCAAATCAGTAAATAAAAGCCAAATGAAAGTTCAACACAGCCGCCATTTGCATATTACTCCTTTTCTTTATAGTAACGAACATCAGCTAGCACGCCAATTCCAAAACAAAGCCCCCCCCCCCCTACCCTATGCGACCTTCCACTCCCTCACTCAGCTGGCTAACTTGTGTGCGAAGAAATGTGTTTGCCCTTAGGACAATTATTTCTTTTACTTTTTTCACAATACAGGTGCTCCCCGACTTACGACGGGGCTAGGGACCCAAATCCAGGTCGCAAGTCCGATTGGTCGTTAGTCCGACATAGATAAAAAAAAAAATCTACAATGAAATACAGTAAAGTTGTACCCCACTTAACGCGGTCAATAGAACCCAGAGGGTCCCGTGTTAAGTGAAATCCGCGTTAAGTGAACAACAGAACATATGGGATTAATTCCAATAGAAACCAGCCCGACCCCCAAACTCCACTTTTTGAAGACACATAACTATGTTGTAGGAAAAATAACATCTTAATTTTATGATGGTACATGCACACAATTAATACTTAAGAGAAATAGAGAAATACAGTCGCCAGGTTAATGTCCATTCAAATAATGGACTCAACTCCCTCCCCCTCTTCTCACACTACACTGCTGGCTCTTCCCTCTCTGAGAAATTTTTTGGGGAAAACCACTAAATTTTAATAAATAATACCTCAAACTAAAGTTAGGATAATACAATTGACATTGCTGGATTCCTTGTAAGACCAGGAATATTTTGAATATAAATGTCATATATTTTGCACAAAAGATAACATATTTACTAGAGAAAACATTTTATCTAAAATTTGTATGTCTAATGCAAAATATATGATGTTTATATTCAAAATGATCACCAAATTATAAGAATTCCAGCAATGTAAATTATATTCTGGCCGGGTAATTTGTATGAATTTTATGAGCTAAAACAAATATCTTCAGTTAATAAAAAAAAAAATATTCTTCAGGACACTATCTGTCAATCAAAGTACCCCACCTTGCCTCCCCCCTCTTCCAACCGCGCGGTCAGTCCCAACCCTCCCCCCCACCCCCCACCAATCCTCCCTTCAAGAGAAGTTGGGTGAAAAAAATAAATTTTAACATTTTGTATTAAATAATACCTCAGATTAAAGTTAGGATAATATAATTGACATTGCTGGATTCCTTGTAAGACCAGGAATATTTTGAATATAAATGTCATATATTTTGCACAAAAGATAACATATTTACTAGAGAAAACATTTTATCTAAAATTTGTATGTCTAATGCAAAATATATGATGTTTATATTCAAAATGATCATCAAATTATAAGAATTCCAGCAATGTAAATTATATTCTGACCGGGTAATTTGTATGAATTTTATGAGCTAAAACAAATATCTTCAGTTAATAAAAAAAAAATATATTCTTCACGGGGTAACAGATGGTCGGTCGGTCCCTCCCTCCCCCCCCCCCCACCAACCGTCCCAAGGAGATGTGTGGGAAAACCACTAAATTTTAATAAATAATACCTCAAACTAAAGTTAGGATAATATAATTGACATTGCTGGATTCCTTGTAAGACCAAGAATATTTTGAATATAAATGTCATATATTTTGCACAAAAGATAATATATTTACTAGAGAAAACATTTTATCTAAAATTTGTATGTCTAATGCAAAATATATGATGTTTATATTCAAAATGATCACCAAATTATAAGAATTCCAGCAATGTAAATTATATTCTGGCCGGGTAATTTGTATGAATTTTATGAGCTAAAACAGGCAGTCAGGCAGGGTGGCGGGTGGCGGGTGGGGCAAATCTAAAAATAGCGTCTCAAGCCGGACACTCACCGCGTATATGTGGAAAAAATCCGTGTTAAGTGAAAGTTCAACTCTGGCGAGGCACCGCGTATATGATAAAACGCGTTAAGTGAAACCGCGTTAGGCGGGGTAATACTGTACAGTAAAAGTAATAAATAATGAGGAATGGATACAGTACAGTAAAAGTAATAAATAATGAGGAATGGATACAGTGTGACTGAGCACTTACCTTTAATGTAGTCAGCTGAATGCACACGGGGCCCCCATAATTTTCTAATTATACATGGACACTACATTAACTGGAAATGTTTCGGTATAGAAAATGCGCGCGTCATTTAAAAAAAAATAATAATAATTTTGGTCACAACTGTGGCGGTCGTAAGTACCGATGGAAGTAAGTCCAAGCAGTCGTAAGTCGGGTACTACCTGTATGTATGTAGGATGGTGTGTGCATGTAAATGAGTATAAATAAAGTAAGTTACGTATATCTACCCGAAAATACGAGTTGAAAAACAACCATAACACCTCACAGCTTGGCCCAGTAGCCTGGTGGTTACAGTGATGAGTCTAACCTGGCTATAATGCCATGATTAATTACTATTAATCACTATTATATCAGTAAACACTAATAATAACAGTAAAATATGGCAGGGAGTGAGGAGAGATATAACTGCGGACGATGCCCTAACTAGTGGTCACTCACTCGCTCCCGTTGCCAGGCGTACGATCAAAATATGTATGAGAGAAATACATGTCTTGTAGTCTAATTTGAAGAAGGTGACAGGCAGAGTGATAAACAAATTATATAAACCATGCATTTACCTATGATGACACAAAAAGAAATATTGTGAATGAAATAATATTTCCCAAAACAACAATTGATGACTCTCGGGCACCTGTGTCCCATGTGCTGACGGCTTGATCCCTTGAAATTTTGAAGGAAAATTTTTGACCTTTTTATTTTATTTATTTTTTATTTTTTAATTTTTGCATTATTTTTAGGGAAATAATTTTGTCGAGCTTAAGCGATAACCGCCTTAGCGAGGTCTGCCTTATCGAGGTTTTACTGTATATAATGGGAAGGAGTACAGTGCAGGTGCTCCCGGACTTACGACGGGGTTAGGGACCCAAATCCAGGTCGCAAGTCCGACTGGTCGTAAGTCCGACATACATAAAAAAAAAAAAAAAATTTTCAAAATAAAAAAAATAAAAAAAATTAAAAATCTACAATGAAATACAGTACAGTAAAAGTAATAAATAATGAGGAATGGATACAGTGTGACTGAGCACTTACCTTTAATGTAGTCAGCTGAATGCACACGGGGCCCCCATAATTTTCTATTTACAGGTATACATGGAGACTATATTAACTGGAAGAAGCAGAAGAGGAGACAGGGCTGGGTGGGTCATCATTGTCGCTTTCTTCAGACAGGTTTATGTACTGTGGAAACTTGCTGGTTGAAGGTATTGGATCATCTTGAGGGAGTGAAGAGGCAGCACTGCTGGGGCGTGAGGAGACAGCACTGGGGTACTTCTTGAATAGATGTCCAATTTAGGCTGCACAGTTTGCTTTTCTTTTCATTATAAATTTCTCTGTAGCAAGCAAGTGCATCTTGGATCATTCTGTCAACTTTGGCATAACGCTCATAATTTTGATCCATGCCATCAAACATTTGCATTCCTTTATTAATTGTAGCAAATGCCTCTGCCATTTGTTCACTGAAAACTTTTTGGGGGTACACGTTCTTCTTCTACATTTTGTCTCTCTTCTTCCTCTGCAATTTTCTGTGCATCTAGTTCAATAGGATCCTCGTTACTGAGCTCTTCTGCTACACTTTCAACCAACTGTGCAACATCTTCATTATCAATTTCTAACAAGATGTTTACCTAACTCCACTATCTTGTTACTAATACAGTGGGGTATGCTATAACGAATCTAATTGGTTCTAGAACCTTGTTCGTTATAGCATTCATTCATTATAGGATTAATCCGTTCCAGGCCCCCAAATACAACCACTTAACACTGAAAAATATATTAAATTGTAAAAATTGTAAAAAAGTGTATAAATATGCATCTAAACTCTTGAAATAAGGAATATCATTAATACCTGTAATACAGAAACAATAAGTTAGTAAAAAAAAAAAAAAATTATAATGTTCGTTGTAGGAGTTTCGTTCGTTATAGCATTATCAATTTTATAGGTAAAACCGTTCGTTATAGGAATATTCGTAGTAGGATCCGTTCGTTATAGCATACCCCACTGTACTTGAAATAACTTCAGTTTCATTAAATCCTCTAAAAGTGTTCACATATCTTTTCAGGACTTTCTTCCATATTCCATTCATGCACTGTTAGGTAACCTGATCCCATGATGCACTAATGTTCTTTATACATGACAAAATGTTGTACTCCTTCCAAAACTCTCTGAGCGTTTTCTCACCTTCAGTAGCAGCAACAGCCTGAGCGAAGTTCGTACGTAAATAATACGCTTTAATGGCAGCAATAGCACCTTGATCCATGGGTTGGATGACTGAGGTAGTGTTAGGTGGAATGTACACTACCTTAACATCAGGGTGCATGTCGTCCAGGTGTGGTGGGT